AGACGCCCGTGCAGCAGCTGCCCTGAACACTGCTCTACTGCTCCCGGTACTTGACTAACATTTTATTTTCTTACTAAAATTGAAGGTAGACTCGACTACCGCTACGAACGTATTGCATTCTGATTGATATTTTTATACGCGCGTCAACTGATGTCAGATATTTATATATCATTGAATAATAATTATTAAGAATATATAATTTAAGCGTAAAGAGCAAGACTTATTCTGATAAAATATATTGAATATTGGAGCGGCCGCGGTCGTGCTCCGTCACCGAAAGCAATAATAAGACACGGAGAAGTGTAGTTCACAAAGAGGTGACCTGACTCAGATAGATATTATATAGATTTGTACGTTGTTGTTGATCAGAACTCACTTTTGATACGAGAGCAAATTATATGAATACAAGCAAATGCTTTATAACGTTATGAAATATATTATGTATGGGCTTTGTTCAGCTGAAGTTTTATGAGCAGATTTTTATATTTGTCTATTTCTATCTACTAAATATTTTTCATGAATCAAATATTTCTATTTAGTGCATGGTTACATTGTAGTGGTTTATAATGTTACGATGCTTTCGATGTTATAATATTTTTTTATTTACTAGACTCGTGTAGTATTGTTGCTTTGATAATGAAGACTTGTAGATTTTAATTATTTCTTAACATTTAACTTGTGGTTGATGCTTTTACTATGTCTAGTGATTTGAAATATCATATAAATCAATAATTTTTCAAATAGAGTAAGTTTTTAGTTTTGTACATTTGGCGTATTATACTTACGCTACGGGATCTTATATTTTTTATGGAATATGCCATAATTTGTGGGTTTTTTGAACACGACATTTTTAATATATCGAATACAATTTTTAAACTTAGATTTTTGCAATCTTGTAATGTTTTATAAGGAGAATATTGTTAATTGTTATTTTTTTACTATTTCTAATCGACTTTTGTGTGTTGGTTTTATTTTCCATCGTTTTAATTTCTGAGCACAATTGTTTGTATACAGTTAACTAAGGACCAATGAAGGAACGAATTTTACACAAAATCGATATTCTTTAGGATTTGACTTTATTTCCAATGTGTGCGCACATATGTGTGTTTTAGTTTAGTGCATTTTATATGTACATTCCCATTTTTATTAAACCCCTTTTTATGTATCCGGCGTTTGGTGCATTTTGTTTTCAAATCGATGTTTTTTTACACTAAGTTTTTACTCCTAACATGAATAGTTTAGCATTTACTATTACTGAATTAATATCGTTCTATGAGATTGTTTTTTAAGTTTACGAATTCAATGGAAATGAGGAATTATAAAAATAGTTTGCTGACAATAATTATTGTCTATGGATTAAATTTGAATTTTTTTAATGTTTAAATTGATGGGACATGTCTGTTTTTTAATAAACCTGTGATTACAGACTTAAAAAGCTAGAATTGTTTAGGTTTTTTTATAATTCGTCATTTCTATCGATTTTGACTATATATTTTGATATCTAAATCATGTATTTTTTTGTATCCGCATACATTAGTGTTAACAAATTCTTAGATTTATTAATTAGACTTAAGTAGAGTTTTCAAATTGTAATGGACATATGTTAGGAGCCGCGTCTTGTATTTTAATCGGAGCTAAGTAACCAGCCGCCTTTCACTTAAGTAACCGTGCGTTGAGACGATGTTTTTGTGACATGTAATCAAGTATAGGAATAAACTTACAGGCTTACAAATAAACGCAGTATTAAGTTCTTAAGAATAAACTGAGTATAAGTAAATCATACTAATATTATAAATGCGAAAGTTTAGATGGATGGATGTTTGCTAGAGTTTTTAGCAAAACAGCTGAACAGATCTCCATGAAGTTTCGTGTGGATGTAGAGGATAGTCTGGAAGAACGCATAGGCACTTTGTTTTTTTTAATTGACACGGAGTCGCGGGCGAAAGCTATATTAGTATAAATTCTACTTATACTCATTTTATTCCTAAGTTTAACTTTATTTGTAAGGCTGTTAGTGTTTCATATTTTAGCTTAAATATAGGTCAATCCATAAAACCTTGTTTAGAGTACAGATTTTTAATAAATCATGAAATTTAAATATACATAAAGGCTAGCAAACACATTAAATAAAAAGGTATTTAAACCGAAATCAGTGTTATAGTGAAACATAATCTCGTTGACGTCCATAATGTCGATGACTAGCTGTAGCTTGCGACTTCGTCCTCGTGAAATCAAAAAATAATAAATAAAATAGCTTTTCAATGGTGATAGAATTTTTGCAATCGGCCAAGTAGGTTTTGCGTTATTCCAATACATACAAAAATACTAGTTTTTATAGTATTATTATAGGTAAACACGTGCTTAAATATTAAATTACTAGCTGTTCCCGTGCGACTTTATCCGCATGAAATTATGAAAATTTTAATTTATTGTTTACATGTGTCAAATTATCAATTGCAAATGTCAAAATGACATGACATGACAAACCTTGGCATTATTGCTTCCTTGATGTTGGCAGCAATTTATGGTCTCTTTCCCACATTAAGGTTTTTAGCCAATATATTTACCCCCTGAGTATAATGGCGGGAAAATATATAGCCTAAAGCGTGACGTTATTGTAGGGCTTTTAATTAAAAAAAGTATTATTAAAAATATGCTGTAATTGCTGACATGTTAGGCAACAAAGAAGTGTGTGTTTACGCGTTATTATAATAGTATAGATTTGGTACTTTAATCATTATCAGGTTGCATAGTACAATAGTTTTAACATAATCTCGTCAACGCACGGTGCGATTGAATGTCGACACGGCACATTTTGTGTTATATGAAATCAGAATGTTTGGCTGTTGGAATAATAATCCTTTTATAACTTTCGGTTTAAATGTGTGACGATTTTTTAACAAAAAAATGAATTTATTTAGCAATGTAACGACCAGTCATCAATGAGACGTCGGAAGGAATTCATACCAATATTTGATTAATAAAACGTGAAATTATGGAAGGATTATTATTGAAATTTAACAATAAGTGTGTGTATCGTGTGAAATTTGAAATTAAAGCTTTTGTATGTGTCGTCTGCCGCTAAAATACTCGCTTCCCTGGCGGCCGGCGACTGATGGCCTAAACAAGCCTTTGTCGTGTGCAGTCTCCGTTAGGTTAGGGCTGCCTTAATAAACATTAGAAAGATGAGTCAACTTCTATAACAGACAAACAACTAAGTAACATTGTTATTTTCGACTGTTCTTCGGAATATTCTAGAACGGATGTCTTTGGCATTGATGTTAATTGGGTGGCAGCCCTTGTTAAGTATAGTGCGTCTACAGCAACATGTCCTGTATGGTCGTCGCCTAGTAGCTTGCTAGAGTTTGGTATTTTATAATTATTTAATGTTAGATGTGTATTAGAATCAACATTATTTTTATATAGAATCTTTAATACATATGGAGAATTTCATTGATAAATTTATTGAGAAAAAAAATCATTATTTATTCGTAATAAATTGGATTTAGAGTTGCGTAGGATATAGGAATGGTGAGGTGCGTTGTCATTCGAGTGCTTAGTAAATTGATTTTTATAACCCTTTATTTTTAATCTCATAAACTTATACACTCTTTTTTAATCTTTTAGAATCTGTGGTAAAATGACTTTTTCTGGTCAATAATCAATTTTGCTAGTCAAGCCGTTCTGTGTATTTTACACAACGGCTTGAACGGACTTGCATTATATCATATCCGACTCGGAAAAAGGACCATGAAGAAGTTTCAAGTCAAAAGATTGTTTTTGTCTGCTAATTTACTAATACATTAAAACAACGGTACAACCAGTTCCTTCTGACGTGCGTAATGTCATCATGACAGTTTTTTCAATACCATACCATTACTGTATGTCGAATGACAAAGCGCCTCGGAGACTGGATTTGAAGAATATGAAAGTATTGGCTTGTTTGCATTCAATAGAAAGTTGATAGATTTCTTGTTGTTTAATTAATTATTACATATTTTTTAAGCAATTATTTTCTCTACATATTGTATCAAACTTTTACTGTTTGCTGCATTTCTGTTTAGTTTATTTTTTTTTGTTTAGGACCAATTTATTATGTTCAATATATTTTGTTGCGAACGCATAATACTACATTTTTTTTATATTTTCTAATATTATTTATCTTCAATTATTTAATGTTAGATAGGTAGGTCCAACAAATTTTTTCAAATTATAATTGTTAAATTAGAAATAGATAATATTATGTAGACAACCAATTTGAATTCACTCTCTCGAAAGATCAAATGAATTTTTGTATTAATTTTTTATATTTATTCTTCGGCATTTAAGCTTTTTTTATAATTTAGTAGATGTTTTAAAAATGCAAAATAACATAATTTTCAAATCCACGTGACACAAACGTGTAACAGAGATGTGAACTTTATAATTATACTTAGGTAGGTAGGTTTAATAAATTTTAAATTCCATTCAATAATATAAGTGTTTTATTTTTCTCTCCTTGTATTCATTTTCAGTGAAAGACGATCTGACTGCGGCAGTGCACTCGCCGATGCGAGCACGACCAATTACAATTTTTTCTTAATATGGTCCAAGGCACTTTTAACACTCCTGTAACTTCGTTGTAGATAAAGAAAGGAGAATTTTAAACATCAATAGATATACCAGAATTCCTTATATGGCCAAAATGTCGTTTATGTGCACCTAGTGGTTTACAAATTAAAGCTAATTCTCCCTTTTTTACACAAACGCGTGCTTAATCGCAATTTAAGGCACTTTTAAGTAATTATTAAGTGCAATATTATTATTTAGTAATAAGACATTTTAGGAAAACCTAAAATAAAACAAACAAATCTTTTAAATTCTTTAATAAATATGTGTAATATTGCATTATTTATAAATTGTGGAAATATACATTTAGATGACAAACAAAATCAAATAAAACCATACATTTTGAAGCGGGAACAGAAAATGATACCAAAACATTTGCTTTTAATAAAAAAATATAAAGCGAATTCTGTGTACGTTTAGGGACGGACGAAATGGATCGGTCCAAATAAATAGTATTTATGAATGAAAAATCAAAAAAAATGGGACCTGCAAGCATTACCTTTTAGATAAAAAAAGAATTATCAAAATCGGTCCACTAGCGGCGGAGTTATGTCGTAACATAAAAAAAACAGACAAATTGAGTACCTCCTTTTGGTAAGTCGGTCAAAAATAGAGCAAATTAAATTACTTTGGTATGAAACATATGCAATCAATGGAGACTAGATAAAATAATGAACATGGTTTTTATCGGCACTAATGTTTGGGAAATCTCAAATGAAATATAATACAGTTATTTTTTTAATAAAGTTTAAACTTATTTTTATATCTATACACATATTAAAGCGCATTACATTACACTAAGTTTACTGGTTCAATGTTTTAACAAATTTTATTAGCTCATAATCATTTTCCGTTAACAAGTTTTCTTGCAAATCGATTATTATATATAATCTTTACATCTCCATCCATCCAGACAACTGTAAGATACAAATTCTTCTTCATTTAAAACTCCATTTCGATTGTGATTCCTTCCTCATATCTTGCTAACCTTTCCCTCATAATTTCGTTCAATTGTTGTTTTTGGACTCCCTATATAACATATATTTTATCCATTCGTAATAAACATTTTTTTATTATTGATCATTCGAAGCAAGAAATCTATCGAAAATTAGACGTGTTACATATTTTTTTTAACCGTAATAAAAAAGGATGAAATTTGAATCATAATTTCAGACTAAAAATAACAAAATCTTACATAAACTTAATTTAATATAAATAAATGCCTGGTTAATTAGTCGTCGGGTGACCACAATTTGCAGTATTTTAAATTTGCACAAAGAAAAATGTGCAAAATATAAGTTTAACAACGATTATTACTAACAGTAACAATAAACAAAATTAGGCAATTTCTCTAGCGTCAAGTAAAAAAATTACTAATAAAATGTATATTTATAAATTAGCTTAAACACTTAAATATTAAATTGATTCATATTTGGCGTTATACTGGTGTTTTTAAAATAAACCGTTTATATAAAGTAAATGCACAAAATAACTTTGCTTTGTAAAAATAATATAATGTCAAGTAATTTCATTTAAAATATATAATACGTTAAAAATAAAAAAATAGATAAATGTCAAAATAAAGAGATTCTTTTGACTAGTTATTTAAAAGACATAAATTATTTGTCAAAAAGCATCTGTAAAATGAAATAAACTTTGTATTTATTCCATACTAGCTTTCAAAAGGTCACGTTTTGAAAGAGTGAGACGAATATATGAAAGGCTGATGAGTGAGAAAGAGAGAACGTATAAATATTCCGATTTTTGCCAATTTTACAAAAATTCTATAGCAAAATTTCTTTCTTCAATCTCTTTTATATTTTTTATGTTAGCCTTGTATTAGTGAAACACTAATATAAAATTATCGTCAAACAAATTTACATTTTTTTATACATTTAGGCCGATCTAAGATAAATAATAAGAAATTAACATCTAATACACAAAAGTACAGTCAAAATTTTGTTTTTAAATTTTTTCATTGATTGTCAACTGAAGAATTTTTTTCTTCAAATCTATCAAATATCAGAATTAAAAGTCCTGATTTATTTTCAGTTTATTCTATATCTATGCTTAATCTAAATAAGGCATTAGATACAGCATTTAGACGCGTCGTTGCTCGCCTCAAGTGCACTTTTTAGATTACATACGAAACACATAAAACTCCATTCTACCGCGTTTTGACAACTTCTAAAACATTTCATTAAAAGAATTTTAATCAATTTAAAAAAAAAATTAATGTGGCAAAAAAATACTTAGAATCAATAAAGTGAAATTCGATTATCCAAATTTTTTAATTTCTTTCAAATAATTTCGATAAATAAAAAAATAGGCTTTTTTTTATTTCTGTGTCAAAAAAAATACATAGAATCAATAAAGTAATATTCTATAACGACTTTTTTAAGGTCGCATTTTTCTTTAATTTCGTGATTTTTGTCAAAACGGGTCCATTTTTTACATCTCCACACATTCCATATTTCAAATGAGCAAACATCCATACATGTAGCCTCAAAAAGCCATACATTTCTAATATAACTTTACTTAACAACTAATTATTAAACATTTATTAAAGCGACTTTGAAAATGTTGAAACTGTTTTTTTGTGCTCTTAATTAACTTGTGGCTAAAAATTCGTGTTTTTTTATTAACTATAGTCGAATTCAATAGAAAAAAAAAGAATTTTTACATAAATTAGTTTTGAAAATCTCAGTGTTGATGATATATATGTTTTTTTAATAAATCTGTAAAGCCATTAAAATTGTTTATATAGGTTTATTATAATTTCTCCTTATTATTGAATTCTACTATAAAATACTGCTGACATTTTGTTCTCGCAGTTTTTTTTAAAGCAAATGAGAGATGGCAATTTTTTTCTATTTAACTGTAAAAAACTTTATACCGGTCAATATAATCGTTTATATTTAATAAATAAAATTATAATCAATTATTAAATTATAAACTAGTTATTGAAGAAACTAGGAGTATTATAGAAATCGGTAATTAGTTCACACTAAGAAAGTAATTTAGTTCCGAGTAATTTAGTATTTAAAATACTCTCAAAATTATTCAATAATATACACGACGAAATGTTGTTTAGACACATTTACTAAGTTACTCGTTACTCGATTAAATTACTTGCAATAGTCCAAACGAAGCATTACAATTATAAAATAAACTATAGTAAAGAGAGCTATTTTTAATCTATGGTTTGATTGGTACTTGTATATTTGGGTAAGCGTCACTGCTATCAAATATCAACCTTAAATGTATGGGAATAACTCTCCAACTCTAGTGCACTGACATATGTGATACATCCATCTCTTTCTTACTCATTGACAAAACAGAGAGCACTAATACAAGCGTCACTGCGCGAGTTGTTCAATTCAGTGCGGTCAAATATCGACCTTACGTCTATATAAATAAGTGTTAAACTCATTTGTACTGACACTTGTGTTACCTATCTCTTTCATTCTCATTGTCTAAAAAGAGACAACTATATTAATGTCAGCGTGCAAGTTGGTTGAACGATTGATCAAATATCGACCTTACACATATGTAAATAAGTTTTAAATTCATTTGCACTGACATGTATGATAGCTATCTCTTTCATTCCCTTTGAGAAGACAGAGACGAATAGAAATGTCAGTGCGCGTGTGTTAGCGAGTATCGACGCTATGTCGGTGCAGTAAGGTTGTATTTCATACGGAGGTGCCGACGTGCCTGTCCGCGTCCAGCGTGACGTCCTCTGGGCTGGCGAGGTCAGCGCGCAGCCGCACGCCGCGCCCCGTCAGCGTCCAGCGGCACGCCGCGCGCTCTCTGCTACCAGATATACTGAAAATTACGTATTACATAATGTCTACATGTTCCTTGTGAAAAAGTATAGCCTATATTACTCACAGATAAATTATCTTTCTAAAGGAGTAAGAATTTTTAAAATCGGCCAGTTTTGAGTTATTTCAATACATACAAAAGTTTCATAATTAAAGAGTTAAGTTATCGGTGAATAATATAGGCTATTTCATTATTTTTAAATTCCAGTATGAAGTCGGGAGCAAAACTAGTGATAAAATTATACTATAGTATAATGTAACTGTGTATGCTTATAACGCCACTAGATGGCATTTCCACCACTTTTTGTCGTCAAGTCATCGAAGCGGTCGAGGCCGCACTTTTAATCTGTTCTTACCTGCAGAGTGCGGTGTCATGTGTGCTGTGCGGCGTGTGCGGCGTGTGTGGCGTTTGTGGCGTGTGTGGCGAATGCGGCGAGGCGGTGCTGGCCGAGCCGCTGGCCGAGCTGCTGGCCGAGCTGCCGCCGCCGCGGTATCGCTCCACCTCTGAGTCCCGCTTCTCCAACTCTGTACACATTGGAGGGTAATGTAAGGAAGGAATTGTAAAATAAATCGTAATTATCTATGCGTACAATACGTAATTACGATTATTTTATAATCTACTTTGGGTATTTACATGTCTAAAATATACTGAATTGGTATCAAGAGTAACAAGTATGTAGTGATACACTTGGCACATCTGTAAGTACAGTACTCTCCTATTTGAAGTGCCAACTAAAAATCGGTGTACTATCTGGATGGATGTTTGTTAGAATTAGAATTTGTGCCCTAAATTGCTCTATCTGAATTAAATTTGGCATTTACGTAGAGGATAGTCTAAAAGCATAAATAAGCTACTTTTTTTTTCACACCCAGACACGGGCGAAAGCTGGTAATGTATGTATGTATGCAACGTCACCTCTCCTGTCGTCAGTGTCGGGCGCGTCCTCCAGCGTGCGCAGGATGTCAGCACACAGGTCAGAGTCCAGCGGCACTGGATTGTCCGACTCCCTGTAACACACGTTAACACACACTTTTATTGCCAGTTAACGCCCATATGCGTAGTGAAAGATTTCTTATCTTTTATCTAGTTACGGACCTCAATAGCTATCGTTTAAGCGCAAATTAAATATAGCAAATTTAAGTAAGAGGATTGCAAGGGTGAAGTACTAGCATTAGGACATCGCGCGGTTTGATGGCTGCCCAGGGCGGATCACAGAAAAGGGCGTCTCTGCGAATTACTCTCCAATAACATAAGAATTGTTTAAGAAAAAATACAAAATAAACCCGAGGTGTTTCATACGGCTTCGAGTTATCTCGCCTACAGCACGGAGTAATCTCACTCAGGGCGTCGTGTAATCTCACTGAGGGCGTTGAGTAATCTCACTGAGGGCGTTGAGTAATCTCATTCAGGGCGTTGAGTACTCTCACTCAGGGCGTTGAGTAATTTCATTCAGGGCGTAGAGTAATCTCACTCAGGGCGTTGAGTAATCTCACTCAGGGCGTTGAGTAATCTCACTCAGGGCGTTGAGTAATGTTGGCCAGGGCGTTAGTGTAGTGGTGTGTACCTGTTGTGCAGCACGAGCGCGACGGCGGCGGGGTGCGGCACGGGCGGCTGCAGCGGCGCGCGCGGGCTGAAGGCGGACACGTCGAGCGCGGGCGGCGGGACGCGCGGCGCCGGCGTGCCGCTCCACTCGTCCCACACACCTGTATACATTATAGAATTTAATATGAAAACACTTCGATATTATGGATAAAAAAACTATCTTCAAACATTTGATACTTCGTTTAGATTTAATCAGATAAAATTGAACGGCGGACATAAATGTTATTTTTTTTATTATTTACGTTACACATTTATTAATGTAAAGTGAATATTGTTACTATTCTTTCTATTTACAATTTTTTTAAGGACGATGCTATAAAATCAAGCAATTTGTATGGCTTGTAAAAAAAGAACACTCGAATTCGATCTTGATATGTTTAAAATCATACACTTTAATTAATATTTTTAAGCAGATCTCTTTATAAAATTGGTAGATATTAAATAATTTATAATGCGTTAGTGACCGTGCGTGTGCAGATGGTCAGGCTGGTGCGGCCAGTGGTCGCGCTCGGCCAGCACGTCGGGCGGCGCCAGGCCGCGGCCGCAGCGCGCCGCCCACGCGCGCGCCGCCGCCCCGCCCTCCAGCGCCAGCCGCGCCTCGCCCTCGCCCAGCGCCACCAGCACCTCCGCGTCGAACACCTACAAAAACTCTGTTACTTTAACATCGGTAGATGGCGTTGTTTTCAAATTTAAACTATCACTATATTTTTTTTAAACTCATAATTTCTAGTCTATTATATCTATCACCAATCCGGTAATAAAAATGAAGTAACTGCACGAGCCGATTCTCCTGAGGGAGCCCTCATGCTTAGTTTCTAATATCGCCTTCTTATACTGAAATAATTAAAAGCTTACGGTATAGGCTAAATTTCACACAATCTAATTGAGCATGTAATTAAGTAATAAAATTTTATGCGAGAATGTGACAAAAACTGCCACCCAATAGTAGCAAAGAAATAAGATTACCATCAGTAATCGATAGGCACAACAAAGGCTTTCGTAGGCATCTAAACATTTAAATTTTGATAGTTTGACATAATCGCATGTAACAAGACGGACGTAAGTTATGAATGTGGAGGTACACCGGTAGAGGTAGACCTAGAAAGCGATGGATGGAGTTATGACTGAGATGACAGATGATAGAGTGCTTTGGAGGACGAAAACCCGGTGCGCCGACCCTACGGTAATAGGATAAGGCAGGGGAGATGATGATGATGACATAATTTTTTTTTTAATATATGCGTGCACGGTAATTGTTTACTACTCACTTTAACTGATTTACTAGTATTACTACTATTTACCTCCACAAGCGTGTTGGCGGCGAGCGCGTGCCAGTCGGCGGGCTGCAGGCCGCGCGCGCTCCACCACTCCTCGCCGCGCCCCGACCACGCCCGCGACAGCTCCAGAGCACACGCCTGCACCGCTTTCTGAACACACACACTTTATTTATTTACGAGCTGTCGCACACAAAATACGTTAGCTCAAAGACCACTCGTTATGCCATTTTGACAGCTCCGAATTTATATTTTACTAGATATTCCCGTGCGGCTTCACCCGCATGAAATTATTAAAACTTTATTTTATAAACACATGTTTACATTTGTCAAATTAAAAGAATTAAAAGAATGACATGATGACAACCTTGCTTCTTTGATGTTGGCAGCAACTTATGGTCTCTTTCCCACATAAGGGTTTTTATCCAAAATATTTACCCTCTAAGTTTAATGGCGTTAAAATATATAGCCTAAAGTGTGACGTAAGCGTCCCTACACTAATTTTATCAAAAAAAGAATTCTTCAAAAATATGCTGTAATTGCTGACATCTTAGGCAACAAAGAAGTGTGTTTTTACGCTTTATTATAATAGTATAGAAAATACGCCCGTCTATATCAGCTACCCTCTAGTGAAAGTGCGGTCGAAATCGGTCCAGCCGTTTTGGAGATTACCCGGAACAAACGCGGCTTGCAGACAGACAGACCGCTAAAATTTTTTTAATGCGATTTTCGATATTTGTAACGCAAATACATCTACCGAAATCTGGAATTTTTATTTTGATTATACAGACACTCCAATTTAATTACATGTATAGATAGATATGGAAGATACTAAAAAGGAAAGATTTATATTGAAATAACTCAAAAACTACTGGGGCGATTTCAAAAATTCCTTCGCCATTAGAAAGCTATTTTTTTTATAGTAAAAGGGGGCAAACGAGCGGCGTGAACACCAAGGTGGTCAACGACGCCCATGGACATCCGCAACACCAGAGGAACTACAGATGCGTTGCCGGCCTTTGAGGAAATGATAGGCTCGCTCTTTGAAGGACCCTAAGTCGTATTGGTTTGGAAATACAGCCGAGGACTGACCGTTCCACAACGCGGCTGTGCGGGGCAGAAAGTTCCGCGAAAATCGCACGGTTGTGGAATGCCAGCCATGTTATCGGTGAGTGACTCAGGCTATATTTAACATTGGTGTACTGACCCTGAGGTCCGGCGCGGCCATACGCACGCGCGCGCGCGCCGCCTCCGTCAGGCCGAGCGCGAGGTCCCGCCGCCGCGCGGACACCTTCTCGCGCACAGACATCACCAGCTCGTTGCACTCCTTCTCCAGCTGCTTGTACGCACCGGTCTGCACACACACACTTTTAATTATTATTTAGCCTATCCATAATAAAGCGAGACCCTAATCTTACTTCTTACTAATATTATAAATGTGCAAGTTTAGATGGATGGATGTTCGTTAGAGTAGTCTAAACGGCTGAACGGATCTCAATCAAATTTAGCATAGATGTAGAGGATAGTCTGGAAGCACACACAGGCACTTTTGTTTTTTTATTCCAGGCGGAGTATTCGTTCCGTTCGGGTTACAAACTCTAGCAAACATCCAAACTTTTGGATTTTTAATATTAGTATGATTTCATTAGTTTACGTTTGCAATCTGCACGGAGAAGGGCCCGAAGCAGGCGTCGACGAAGTGCGCGTAGTCCCGCAGCGGGCGCTCGATGAGGCGCTCCGTGTCCGCCGCCCACTGCGCCAGCGCCTCCAGCTCCGCGCGCGC